TTGATACACGATCCCTGGGCCACTGCTGTGCTTTAGCTACCCAGAGATTATGACCCACCTGTCCTCACAGCTGTTTCATAAACAGTGCAACCAGTAGGCGGCTAGCAACCTAGAGGGAGGGTAATATTTATTCATTAAATAATTAAACATACTTAAATCATATAGAGGAAGCATTCAAGCCTTAGTACTGTTCTGCCAGAAGAGAGAAGGGGCAAGTGATTCCTTCTGCTGATGTATTTGGGGGCGGGGGATGCCTGAGGGGGGCTGCAACGGGAGCATCCTAGCCCATGCACCTGGACCCCAAGGCTAACCATAGTCTGGTTCAAGGTGCGGGGAATTTTATTCTGCACCATGAACCAGACTACGGTTAGCCTTAGTCTAAACACGCATATTCCAAACTGTAGTCTGTAGAACATAAAAAGTTGGAAGGCTTCGAAAATACTGCATACTATAGTCCCTTATGGGGACTCATGCACAATTCCTACTAGCAGATTCTAAACATCCGAGAAGTCCTGCAATAAAGAAAGCTGCTTAACTTTGTTTAACCCAACAGACTCATTTGACCCTCCCACCGCTGCCATCAAAGGAAAAAACACCTACTAATATTCCATGGCCTGGACTTCAGAAAATGCCTTCCACTCTGAGCCTTCATCTTCCAACCTAGAGAACACTGCCTTCCTGGGGCCCAGCTATGGGTGTGAGACACACTACACCAGGTACAGACAGAGAGAGGCAGCATCCCTGCTAACATGACACAGGAAGGGACAACAGGCAAGGGTCCCGCTGGAGCCAAAGGGATTCAAGAACCTCCAGAACTGTGGCAGTTGAAGAGGAAACTGTGGCTCTGTCTCAGGAGGGCAAGCTTCACTTAGCACTGGTCCCAAGCTCAAAGCCCGATTTTCCCTTCTGAAGAAACATTAAGACAATCTACAGTAACCAGGCCCAGGACCTGTATGGCCTGCCCAGGATACCAGGCTACATTCTCTTTTATCACTTACGTGCCCCTTACGAACACCCAGAAACAGGAAAGGCTGGAATCAAATCATGTCCTATCAGGAAAATTATGTTCCCTCCCCAAAAGGATGCCGCGGGCTTGCCTTATAAGGACTACCCTTATAGGGAAGTTTTTGTTTCATTTACTGTACGTGACTCACATGGGAGTTGAGCAAAGGGGCTTCGTCTGCTAAAGATCAGCTCCACGGCAGACCTCGCCCATCTCATTCACTCCTGTGTCCCCATGCCTGGAATATGGTAGGCATCAGTAAATATTTGATGAATGAGTAAAGACATAAAATAATAAAGGAGTGAATGAGCTAATGATTAATCTACTTATGACATGTTCAGAGTCATTATGATGTATGGTTGAAAATATGAACTCTGCCAGACCACCAAGGTTTGAATCCTGATCCACCACTTAGCTGCAGGACCTTGGGCAAGTGACTGAGCTTCTCTGGCTCAGTTTTATTCCCTATAAAATGGGGTTAATAATAGTACTGACCTCATCAGTTGTCCTGAAAACCAAATTAGTTAGCATATGTAAAGTGCTTGGAATAGTACCTGGCACACGGTAGGTGCCTTGTAAGTGTTATCTATCAACATCATTGTCATCATGACATCAGGTACGAGAGAGTCCAACTGAGAAAATGAACATGAATTTTCATCTAGACACTGAATCCTTTCATTCAACAGTATTTATGGAGTACAGTTATGTGCCAGGCTCTCTTTCAAGCTCTTACTTGGGTGCAAGGAGAAGGAAACCATGTTTAAATATGAAACCAGATCAGGAGAAATAGCCTTCTCTATGAATGATACTTCTTGCTGAGTTTGTGTGGCCAACACTCCAGCCATGAGCCCATCCTCTTATGCCCTATCCACTCACATATCAAAGCCCAAAGCCACGGTCTCCTGTCCTAGATATGGAGACAGCACACAGAAGAACTAAGAGATTAATATATTTTGGGGGGAAACCAGGAAGGCCAATGAGTAGCTTTAGGGAAGAAGAGGTATCTTCCTGCTTTTCTCTATGGCTACTGTTTTATCTTCCCATAATATTTTCAAGATCTGGGATTGATTTTGAGGCCATCTGAAGATTAATTCACTTACTGTAAGGACAAAAGAAATAGGCCTCATCTCACACCACTTCTGGGCCTAAGAGCCACTTGCCCCTTACGCAGGATCTCAGAATGACTGAGGCAGGGCTTAAGGCTGGGACTAAGAGGCCCAAGAATCTTCCAGCAAGCCCCATGATTCTTAGGGTAGCCTCCTACCATCATCTTCAGAGCAAGCCAGCCCCTCAGAGCTGTAGCCAGGCCAGGCTAAGTACCCCAAACCTGTGGTCAGCACTCAGAGAGATGAGAGCAGACAGGGGCTCTGTCTTCCTGGCTCCATGGCCTGATGACCACTTTGCATTAATGTTTCACAGTAGGGGAGGAATTTCTCCTATGAGGGTTCGAGCTGCAGCCAGCCTTTCCCTGAAGATGGACAAATGTTGGTCACCACATCCAGAGGGATAGCCAAGAAGGGCTCGGAACCATGCTAAAATTCCCCCTAGTGCTTCCAGCTTTCACCTTAGCTCCTTTGCTAACTTATCACCAAGCTTCGAAGCACATACAAGGACCTAACAGTGTGGGGAAATGACACTCTAGTTAGCAAGCCTCTCCTACTCCAGAGCCTCTCAAAACTCACCCAGAGCCTGTCTCCAGCCAAGACAAGCCATTAGCAGCTCCCCTGGCAAAGCAGCTACCAGGAAGTTCAAGGGCAGAAAGCAGACTGCCAGAGCGCAATACACCTCCCTTGCCAAGAGAGCCAGAGAGGTATGGATAAAGGCCTCAAACGAACCGCGTCACCCGTCATTCTGTCCGTCTCCCTGTCTCCAGGTGCAAGTCCAGCTCAGCGGTAAGCGGGCAGCCCGCCAGTCCTCAAGCACCTAGAAACGTGTCCCCGGCGCTTAAGTGGCGGCAAGTCCCGGGTCCCCTAATTTTTCTAACCCTTGTGAACTCAGTTTAGGCCGCTAAGAAGCTGGGGTGCGGCTGGCTCACCTGAGAACCTCAGGAGCCCCAGGCCACCGCAGAGGCAGGGGCAGGAGCACAGGCCAGGGGCCGGCAGGGAAGGCCCGGGGGCGGCGGCGCCTC